AGATTACCCAGTAATGTCTTTTTTCTGGTCCAGGGTCTAATACCAGATTCTGCAGTACATTTGGCTTTCATGTCTCTTTCATCTACTCCAGTCTGGGACAGTGTTCACTCACCCCTTGTCTTTCATGATGTAACACTTTTGAAGTGACCAGGTTATTATTTTTGTAAGATTCCCCTCAGGCTTGCCTAACATTTACTCATGATTAGATTGAGGTTATGCATTTTTGCCCAGAGTACCTGAGAATTGAGGATGTGCCCTCCTTAGTGCATTGATATCAGGGTGAACGAGATGTCATGATGTCTTATTCCTGGTGACGTGAAGCATGCTCATTGGGTTAAGGTGGTCCCTGACAGGTTTCTCCACTGTAAGTGTCTTGTGGACAGGTCCTTTGACACTGTAGAAATAGTCTGTCATCATATTTGGGTGGGGCCATATTTTTGAACTGCCAGCTTTTTTTTTGTCTTTAGATCCGGCAGATATAAACTTAATCTTTTCATTTTTGTCGTTTTCTTGTCAGTGATTTGTGGCTGTTTGCAGGCTGGCTCTGGTCTGTGGGCTACGTTTTGAGCAGTAGCGTTCTAGATGACACTTCTTCACCAGTTCAGTTTTCCTACTGCTGTCAGATCAGAATTTGAATAGCAAATCCACCTGTGTCATTCTTCTGCTTAAAATCCATCAGAGGCTTCCTGTACTTCTGGGTGAAAACCAACCTTAGCATGACAGTCAAGGCTACATCATTCTGCTCCGTCTGTCACATTGTCCCTTTACTAGTTAGACTGCGTCACTTCTCACCACCCTCTGTGTAGGCACACCTGTTTCCTCCACATGGTGTAACTGGCCAGTCCCCTGTCTTCAAGGCTCATGGACACCTTTTCTCAGTAGTCTAGGCTCATAGCTTTTCCCCATGTCTCATCCCGTATGTCCTGTGCAGATACCTTGGATAGAAGTTGATTTTTGTTTTTATATTTGGTTATGTATCTCTTAATCTGTTTAACTCTGAGCTTTAGCACATGAAATTTGAGCTTAAGATTAGCCCATAGTTGGGGTTCAGTAGTACTAATCCTAAATTGAGATAGTTTCTAAGAAAAGTACTACGTGTGGTCTCCTGTGACAGGATGGGTTCCAGAAATGTGGAGATGGTGGGTGGAAAGCCCTTTGGGGAAGACAGGGTCCCTGATGGACAGGGTCAGTCAACAGAGACTATGGCTCTAGACTTCTAGCCCTTCTTTGTGTGTTGTCTTTACCCCATGGATAGATTAAAAACTTCAAGCCAGGAAGGAAATCCAAGACAGTGCAGCCCCCTGGATGGACCCTCATGTCTATCTCCATAGGCCTGCTTTGTCACTGTTGGGGACCGCTTTCTTTGTCTTGAGAAACTGAGCAGAGAGCTGGCGGATATCCTCTCCCTGCATCTTTTCCTGTGTTTTAAATTTCAAAGGAAAGTTTACAAAAATGTAAATAATGGTTAGAAACTCAGCCTAACCTATTGCTGTAGCTCTCTGAACAGAAGTAGAATGATCACCCTGTTCCAGATTTTCCTAAGTTGTAACTAGTCTTTTGTATCTAAATATTGCTAGACTTACTTTATATTTAGTGCTATTTTCAAAATATATGAAATATAATTGTGTCAGAAAAGAGAAAACCAAGGTCACCATGATTCCCTAAGTCACCACTGATAACTTTACCTCAAAAGCAATTGTTCTTTCTTATATCAAAGGTGTTGACCTATTATTTAGAGTATACATTTAAATTCTTATAGTATTCATAGCATATTTTATGATAAAATCTTATAAATTTGTGTAATAGCTTCCACAGATAAATCTCAACTATTTATCAGAATTTAAATATATATTTTAAATGACTTACCAAGCATCAATAGATACATTAAAAATTTTATCAATAAATAAAATAATATATCAGTAAAGTAAAAAAAGTTCTCAACATCAGTGGCAACATTTACTTTAAGAATAGGAGGGAATTAGAATTTGAAGTAATGTAGCCTAAAGCTTTTCCTAAATTCATTCAAAATCTTCTAATTTAAATAGCACCTCTTTTAATTATATAAGCCTTTCACCACACACAATCTAATCATTAAATTACACTGCTTAAAGGAACAAGAACCCCCCCCCCCAAAAAAGAAAACCAAAGGTAAAGTAGTCCTAGTAACGGAATTTTGAAAGGGCAGTATATTTCAGTGTAATCATACGAAATTACTTAAACACAGTATGCTTACATGGCTAACACAAAGGAAGAAAAGTGTACTGTAATGCAGGTAATATCTTCACAATCCTTTGAAGATTTGGGATAATTTCAAAAAGATCTCTACTTTGTTTTTGGTTTTAAAAAATTCAGATATGTCTTTTAACTTCTATCCTTCAGCCTGTTCATAAACCATAGAAATCTCATTCTTTTAGAGTTAGGAAATAACTGTCTTATGTAGTAAAATGATACTGGTCATTTAAATAAGGGGGGGCCAACCACAACAGAGCCCCAAATAAGGTAGCGTTTTGCCTCATGATTTTCCGAAGTCTGCTATGATGATTGAAGACTTGCTACTTTATCAATTCCCTGAAAATTTGTTTAGAGGTAAGCCTGGTCCTCACTGGTCTACAGGGACCTGAGCCCTGGACCTGCTCTCCAGGGTACCAGATCACTCAGCGCACATCAAGGGTGTGATGGTTTGAGAATGGGGGCCTCTAACTAGACCTGTGGTGGTATGAGGGGAGACTCTTAAAGTAAACAGGTTGATTTTTAAATATAAAAATTTAAGAACATATTGAAGACAAATGACTGTGGTCTCCCAAACAATCTAAAATCTGTGGATTTCAGATGGTTTATCTACAACTTGCAGTTAAAAAAAAAGCATTTTATGTCACTACCCATATACAGACCTATAAGTGAAATAAAAATGCCACGAAACAATAATACTATGTGTGCTTTAGAGTTCTTTGGGAATTACATTTAAGGTTAGTTCACGAGTCACAGAAAATGTCACAGAAAAAAAATTTTTTTTTTTTTTTTTGCATCAGAGGTGATTTTACCTTGAGTTTCTTTTTTTTTTTTTTTTTTTACCAGATGTGGCTTTAAATTATGTGTTAGTTAAATCAAAGAACAAAATTGTTACGATTGACTGTGTTCAGAAGAATGTAAGTACCAAAGTGTTAGAATTTAAAGTTAAAGGAGATTCTTATTGAAAAAAAGAAGGAAAAAAAAAAAAGAGAGAGAGAGAAATACTTAAGAGGTAGTCCAGGCCAGCCTGCTCATCATGCAGAGACCCAGAGAAGAACTAGCTGCAATTATAAAGAATGATTTAAGGTCATTTATGTAGTCATAGGTTAGTAATAGAATACATTTTAAGATATTGTTATGAAAAGTCTGGTATTGTAAGTGGCTGCTTCTGAGTTTGAATGTTGGGGTGAGCTGTGATGGGGGAGCTATAATGTTTAGGTACCATGGGGAAGTAGTGGTACCCGTGTCCCTGTGACTTTCTTGGCTTTGGTTGCTAGGTCATCTCAAAGATGTATGTGCTTGGCTCTTTCAACCTATGTCATAAAAAGACCAATTTAGGAAGTAATACTGTCAATGTCTTGGAAGTTGAGGAAGATAATTAAGTATGTGCTAGCTTAAAGTTGTGCTTGGTCTTGAGTCTATGCATTTCCCATCCTGTCCAAGCAGGTCTAGGGAGCTCCACCCTCATATCTTAGCCTTCAGTAGCCCAGGAAAGTGAGAGAATGCAAACGAATTAAATATTTGTAGTCAAAATCTTGTCCCTCTAATATATAGAGACTACAGAAAACATCCCGTTTATTTTTTGCTAGATACTGAGGTAGGGCTTGCTAAGTGCTTCAGTCTTTCGGAAATCTCTCTGTATCACAATTTCCTTTAACAGATATTTGTAAAACACTGTGATCTTTTTTTGGCTAGTCTCATAAGCTTTTCTTTTATCAATGTGTTATCATAGACAGACAAGCTCCAGGGAGGCCAGATGATAAATTTCCTTTCTATACGCCTGGCATTTTCTCTGAAATAGACAAACAGCACATACCTACAATGAAAGCAACGTGCTTGCCTTAAGTGTTGTAGTTTATCCTACAAAGTAAATTCTGATAAAGTTAAGGAATCTGATTTTTTTTTTAACTGAAGCAGGATCAGCAGGTTATAGCTTGTGGGCCAAATATGGGACACTGCCTGTTTTTGTAAGTAGAATTATATTGTAAATTTTGTAAATAAAATTATTTATGCCTGTTTTTACATTATAGTGACAGAGGTAAGTAGTATCTAGTATAGCTATAGAGACTATGTGACCTGCAAAGCCTACTGTCTGGTCCTTTACAGAAAAAAACAGTTTACTGACCCCTGGACTGAAGGAATATTGAAAGACTGAAGTATTGTTCTTTCAAAAACTATCACTTTTAGGTCAAGGCTATTTTCCCTTAAATTGAATGAAAAAATTCTTCTGCTACAAATAGATGACAGTCTATAACTAAGTTTGATGAGAGAAACTGCCTAGAAAGTATTGGGCAATTGGTGTCTACTTTTTTTTTCCTCAAAGTTAAAGATCATTGAAAATCATTGTACATTAAATCATTAATGCCGAGAAGATAACTAATGAGGCATGTATGAAAGATTACAGTGTGGCACACTTATAATTTAACTGCACAGGGAAGATTGGCTATCTTATTTCAGCCGGCATTGCCTACTTTGATAGTCTTCGTAATTGTGAATTTTCATAAATTTTTACATTTATAAATACCAGTCTATTTGAGATTTTACTTACTACAGATCTATAAGGCTCTGCTAATAGTCATTTGCAAAGATGCCCCATTTTTTTTGTTTAATAGATGTAGTTCAGTTTATTAAAAAATACATATTTAATCATACTATTTCTCAATCACAGAATTTGAGCAATAAAACGTGGGGCTGCAGTGCCTGATATCAGGGTAGCAGTTGAAATATGAGTTACCTAATGTGTGGTTATCTTTTAATTTTTTTTTTAACAGGCTTGTGGAAGAAAGCAAACTGATCCCACGCATTTTTGAAGTAATTCTGGTAAGAGAAGAAATGTGTGTCTGATATTCAACTGCATTTAAAATTTTTTTAAAGTTTTGACCACATTGTATGGTTGGGTTCTAACCCTAACTCTGTGTGGAAGGATTGTGTGTTCATCATGTCACTTAACATTTTTGGTCCTCAGTTTCCTTGACTGAGTGAGTCCTTGCCTTGTCTGAACCCTTGTCCAGCTCTGATTTGTATAGGGACATTGTTTAATGACCTTCCCACTTTCCAAAAATCCTTTGCATTTTATTTGTGTTGTGTTAAAAAGTGTGTTATCAAACATAGAAGAATATTTTATCTGAGGTTGGTTTGTGGAAGAAGGGCAGAATGATGATCTCTGTGCTTCAGTGTGAATTTTCAGAATGAAGCTCTCTGACTTTGCGGTCACTGGGTCAGATGACAGCTTTATACCTGTGGGCAGGAAGTTGTCTTTTTCAGAATGTAGAATAGCTTAGCTTCGATACACTATTTTTTTTCTATTCATGGAATGCAGCCTGATTGAAAACCACCTGTTAAAGAAAACAACTTTCCTCTCTGATTCCTATGAGGAGAGAATAAAATGGAATATAGGATTGGCTTTTCTTACCCTTGATAAATTCCTACTTATACTAAATGTAAGTCTGAGAATTAGACTGAAAACTGACTTGGTGTTGATAGCAAGGGAGAGCCCTTAGCCAAAGAAATGTTTTCGTGCACCCTGCTGTGTTGTCCCCCTTCACCAACAACCTTCCCTCCATAGCTAACTGACAGCACAAGGGACAAAGGAGGGGACACGTCCCCAGCCAGATCAGCCTGCCCTACCTTGGTCCTTGCAGAACAACGGCTGTTACAGTCTGATAACCCTACACCTGGAAAATTAACTCTCTTTACTATCCTAAAATATTAATCTCTAAGCTGTTTGTGTGCTGATAGGACTATGTGGTGAAAACATCATTTTTCTTAGCCGCAGATCACCCTTGTTCTTTGAGGAGAGCTGTTGGGTTTGCTAAGTCATTTGAATTTGGTGGGGAGCAGGATTGAGAGGGGGTCATATTCCCACATCATGAGCAAGTGACAATAAGGTGACACAGAGCAGCTGTGCTAAGAGGATTGAATTGCTTCGAATAGTTAAAGGGGATTTTAGAGGCAGTGTCAGAAGAGAGAGACAGAAAGCAGATGAAGAAACACGGAAGTCACTGGGGAGATTGACGGAGATTTTTAAGCCTGGCCATGTGGTACATGCGTCTCCCTCTTCAGTAGGGTATATGTTACTGGCTAACTTGTCATGGTGTTGGGTTTGTTGTTGGAGGGCCATGCACAGTGAAGTAAACTGCTGGGTTCCACCGCATGGTTGGACATGGGGCAGGAGCCAGAGCTGTCCCAACTCGGCCACATCCGGCTGGCATTTGAGAAGAAATGTGGGTTACAGACACAGAGAGCCTGAGCCAGAAACAGCCTTGACTTGTGGGTGTGACCCACCCCATTGCTGGGGTAGGAGGGCTGCTGACCTGCTAAGATTCATACAGCTCTTTTTTCTTTTTTTAAATTGAAGGATAGTCAGTTATAATTTGTCAGTTTCTAGTGTGTAGTATAATGTTTCAGGCATACATAATACATACATAGGTTTGTTTTCATGTTCTTTTTCATTGTAGGTTACTAAAAAATACTGAATATAGTTCCCTGTGCTATACAGAAGAAACTTGTTTATCTGTTTTATATATAGTAATTAATATTTGCATCCTATGTTTTTATTTTTTTAGTTTAAAATTTTTACTTGTTTGGTTATTTTTTAATGGAGGTATTGGGGATTGAACCTGGGACCTCATGCATGCTAACTAAGCATGCACTCTACCACTGAGCTATTTCTCTCCCCTACAGCTCCTTTTGTCACTGATAAATAGTTATCATCCCATCCTTTGACGGTCATCTCAAAGTCTAAAATCCCTACACCTGGAAAATTCTTCCTCGTAGGTTCCTAAAACTCCTCCATCCTTGATGAATCATTGTATGACGAGCACTTAGCAAAGCTTCATCTTTGACAACTGTTTAATTAATCAATGCCACGATTTAAACCCTTGTGACTGTGTTGTACCTGTTGTGGGGGGGTGGGTGGAGGTGACATAGACTCCCCAGGTCAGGATTTCAGCTGGTCCTGAGCCGTGTGACCTCAAAGGCATTTCTAGGGTGATGCTCTTTCTCCAGCCAGAACAGATAGCTCTCATACTCAAGTTTCTTGCAGGCTCTTATTTTAAAAAGAGGTCCTGCTGCTAGAAAAAAGTAAAGAGAAAAAAAGTTGGAAATCACTGCTTTTTGGAACAGGACTTTTTGACATCCTAAAGAACATTATTGAATCCCTAGTCTACTTTTGTTTTTCTTAAGTTAAATAATCTCAACTTTTTTCTCTGTATAAATACATTTTTAATCAATGAAGTGTCTATGTAGCAGTTATCCTGTGAACTATTTATTACCTTGTCCTTCCTAAATTTTTCTCACTGAGCTAGACTAATAAGAGTATTTTATTGATTTTATGCTGTACATTTTTTTCTGTATTTGTACATTTCTGAAACTAGGCTATACTTTCTAAACCAATGACATTTTACAGTTGCTTTCAGCCAAGTGACCTCGTTGTCATTGCCTTAACCAATTCATCTCAGTTTTCTTTTTCTTTTTATAAGTGCCCAAGAGTGGTGTATTATAAAATTTATGTCTGGGTAAGTTTAAAAGCGCTCTTTCAATAGAAATGAAATGAAAATTCTAAGTAATAAGAAACCATGCTGTAGTTTAATTGGCAGCATTTTTCTTTCTTAGTGTTTGATAAACTAATGGTGTATCTTAGAACTGATGGAGTCCTACATTCAACGAAACATAGGTCAGGTTTGGTTTCTCAGTTCAAAGGTCTTGGTAGTGTCTAGCATGTATAAAGCAGCTTATAGCAATGATGTGATCAGAATGAGACATCATGAAAAGATTGTGTGGGACTCTGCATGCTTGACTTATGTCTCCTAACCACATTAAAAAACAAAACAGCATTTGACTTGTTCACCTGGTGGTCTATTGTGACCTCTTGATTTTCTTCTACTCTTAGCCCTTACCTGTTTTCCACCTTCTGTTTGATGAATTAAAGACTGATTACAGCCTTTATAACTTCCTCCTTCCTTTCTAGAGGTCCTCATATGATGTGCTCTTAACCGCAATACATCCTCTCTTAGGTGTTTTTCACCAAGAAAGCATAACTATCTCTTCTGATGGGCTGGAATCACAGTCAGCTTCTGTGTCTTTCCTGCAGGTCTGGAGGAAAATGATGATGAAAAGCTGTATTAGGGGAGGAAGACAATACTGTGAATTCCAGGGGAGAGAGTGATTGACTCTGCTCAGTGTAGGGAGAGGAGTCTCATAGAAGAAGGAACTTTTGTACAGAGCCTTGAGGGGGTTGTCATCGGGAGAGGAGGGTGTTCCAGCCTAGGGGATGGTGAGTACTTCGATGTGCCTGGACCAGGAACATGGAGAGGTGGTAGGGAGTGAGTAGTTTGGGACTCAGTCCTGCAAGGCTTTATACTGTGGTTCTTTCTTATTGGCTTTGCAAATAATTTATGCTCTTCAAAATCCAAATCCTGTAAACAAACCAGTGGTTACCAGTGGGGAGACAGAAGAGGGGAGAGGCGTTATTGGGATAGGGGAGTAAAAGGTACAAACTATTATGTAATAAATAGGCTACAAAGATATATTATATAACATGGGGAATATAGCCAATATTTTGTAATAGCTATAAATGAAATATAACCTTTAAAAAATGTGAATTGCTCTGTTGTGCACCTATAACTTATATAATATTGTACATCAACTATACTTCAGTTTAAAAAAAATTTAAAAATTTCAGGATCCTCTACTTAAACAAACAAACAAAAAATCTTTTTGAGCCCTTTTGCTGTGTGGGCTATGTGCAGTGAGTGAGAGGGTAGGCTGCCTAGCCCCCCGGGGTTGGGTCTGGGAGAGAATCAGGCTTAGGATCTTGGGCTTATACTAGAAACTTGAAACAGGTTGAAAGCTAGCTTCTGGGAGTTGCCTGCACGTCTCCATCAGCAGGGCTGTTGAGATCAGCCGGAGGGACCACAGGCAGGGAGCCTAGAAGACAGAGCCAGGTTCAGCGGTCTGATCTGAGGGCCCAGGAGTTCTCAGGTCACCCTGAAGGCAGAGAGCAGGCAGAATGTTTTTCATCCTGGGTTCCAGCTGCACGTGTCCCTGCTCTCAGCAGGGTGAGCGGTGGAGAATCCAGGGAGCTGATCACTTACGAAAAGGAGCTGTCACAGCAGCTGGGTGCTGCTTTGTTGGCAGGGCCTACCTGGGTGAGACACTGCATTTTGATTGGTGACATGAGGCAGCTGTGCTGAGAGGGGAGCAGATGCTCAGGCAACATGCATTGAATTAAGCTGAATGGATTCCCGTACAGTCTTTAGGTCTGCGAAACTAAGGTGATCTGGGTCACCTTCATAAATACGGGTTCCTGAGGAAAGTCACCCATGGCTTTGTTTTTGAGTGCAGAGTTGCTGGATGAGCCGGTTGGAAGGCATTCTTCCTCATCTGCTGCTTTCCCAGGAGTAGAAGTTGCTTTTAAATATGTCTTAAGTAGGAGTTTGGATGAATCAGCCTTTGGACTTTGCTATAACTAATTTCTCTTCATTTTGTTCCAGTGGTTTATGTTTTGGCCTACTTCCATAAATCATTTTAATGCCACATAATACAGGGAGAGTATATTTTATTGGAAAAAAAATCTGTATTCATAGCAGATTTTCCAATATGTGCCAAAATATTGCTGTCATGATATTTTATGTGTCTATTCCAAAACAGACAATTAAAGAGCAATTTCATTGGCAAATGTTAACAATAAAATGGAATTAGCAATACACTAGTTTGATGATTACATTGTTTTAACAATTCTCGAGGATAGCAGTGGAAGCAAACATGAGTACATCTTTCAAGTCAGCTGCATCTTTAGAAAAGAGTCTTTACAGACCTTT